CTCAGAAATCGGACTCATTCAGTATGTCTGGATGGGAAGTGTTCTACTGCTTTACCTGTTGTCTATGGAGTACCTCTGTGCTCCATCCTTGGCCCCATTTTGTTCTCTCTATATATATCTGACTTTCATAAAATAATTGATCATTGAATAGTTCATCATTATGCAGATGACACTCACTTATATTATCGATTTCCTCCAAGTAACTGGCAGGTGGAAATGGAAAATATTAACACCGATCTACAAAAGTTACTGGATCTGTCTATAGCCCATAACCTGAAATTGAATCCAAAAAAATCTCAGCTGATACTTTTTGGCCCGAAACACAAAAGATGGGAAATTGAAGAAAGAATTGGAATCCAACTTGGACAAGACTTACTACAAATAATTACAGAAAGCAAGAACTTGGGTTTGTGGCTAGATGCTGATGATAAATTCACTTTGTCGTAGCTCGTACAGTATCTTACGTCAACTCTATCAAAGCGAAGACATTATGACTTCCAAATTGAAGTTGAAACTTTGTGTTTTTGTCCTTATCATACCACACTAATGTGGTGTCGTCAGCAAATAAGGTGAAACTTCCTGAAAAATAATAAAAAAACCGCTGATCAAATGTACGTAGTCCGCAAAATTCGAACAATCACCTCATTTCAGGAAGACACGTATTTCTAGTTTATACATCCACCCCATTCGTCATGATTCTTCCACTTAATAGTTCCATCGTTAAAGTTTCCGAGGTGAAATTTTTGAACAAAACAAGAAACTTCAACTCCCAAAGTGGCAAGTCCCATTAAGAGGCTCTCATAAATAAAAGTAGTAATCTTTTTATTAGGTGGCAAACAAAAATAAGAATGGTTTACGAACCGTGGTCGACATCGAAGTGACATTGTTTTCTTTTCGTTAGTGAGGCCGACTCGAAGTGTCCATTAGTTGATTTGATAAAAATTACTTACTGAAATGATGTAGATAAAACTGACTGGTTCCTTTAGAATGTCGAATGTATCTGCATTTCTTTGAATTCGAGATATAAATAAATGAAAACAGAAAAATATACTGAAATAGTCTGAAATATCTCTAAAACAAAGCATTTTAAACTTATCATTTCAACCTTTTCTTAAAAAAATTATTTAAATACTTAAAAAAGAGGAATTAAATAATGCATTCAACATTTGAAGGTATTCGTTTCTATTTCATCATTTGGCAACATCGGTTATAGCTAATAAAGGACAATGAATCTGTTACATGTATGAGACAAACAAACATGACATATTTCAGAGGCGTGCTGTTCTGTTTCCTTATGTTCCGAGTTCCGAGACATTCTGTGACATATGACAATTTTTGCATCTAACCTATCTTCCTCTATATGAATAAATAACAAAACAACTGTTGTTTATGTGGCTTGTGGAGGTGGTATTGAACTATAATTCATATTTTGCGTCGATTGTTGATTTATAAAGATAATTTCCCTTTTTTAAAGTAGAATATCTAGATACGTATGAATTATTTCAACTTGATATATGCGCTGTTGCTAATATATGTGAATTAGAAACGAATCCCTTCAAAAATTAAAACCCATCATTTGAAACATCCATTTTGATACTTTTCGAAGTGAATTTGAAAAACTCATGAATTAAAGTCAACTTCATTTTGTTCAAACTTGCATTTGCTGTATTAACCCAAATTGAGGAACATTCCCTATCAACCTTGTCATTGGCTAATTATTCAGCCACCAGTTTCGATATCACTGAAACGACATGTAGATGTGGCATTCATTGTGCGTACATTCCAAGGAGACCGGGTGCTATCATCTAAAATCATGATTTAGAATTTTAAAAGCTTTTGCCCATTTAGAAGTCCTCTTTGATTATTATTCTTGAATTGAAGTCGTTTATCTTCTGAAACAAAGAATAGAACGCGTGCAGACCTGTTAGCATGTAGATTTCTCTTCATCTTGAGTTCTAGAAAATGGGAAACAAAGATAATTAATATCTTTCTGAAGGTTAATATGCTTCTGGGTTCACTCCAATGTTTGACAGTGAATTGTTGCTGACTGGTTTTGTGTTATGAGGCCTTGAAATCAAATAAAGATAAACCACAATTGATTTCTCTTTTGATTCAATATTCAAAATAGTATACAGAAGAGTCAAGCACTGCTGATTTTTGTCCAATTTGAAAACTTTTTTCATATTTTTTTTAAGTTTATAATAAACTTCTTCTAGCAATAAATTTTCACATCATTTCTGAATTTTTTTCGGTACAGAAATTCAAAACGTTGGTGTATATGAGAAATCCCTTCAAATTGTCCAAAGTAAAACTCATTATTCTCATCGGCGTGCGGTTATACACAGTATAGGTTTAATTACTCGAGAAGGCAATCTAAATGAAAATTGTTTTCGAATTCGGGTTGAGCATTCCAAAAAACCCCAATTGAGGAATTATTTTGAAAAAGGGATGTTTTTCACAAATGAAAGTGATTATAACTCCTAAACTCGCTGTTCTACGATAAAACTTGTACGACTTTTTTCTACAGAAGTGGCTCTATAGAAGTTCTAGTGGCAGGAATAAAAATCAAATCAAACTTATAACTTTTATTTGTCAGTGGTGTACGTGAAACATTTTTCAATTGATAGTCTAAAGATAGTTTGGAAGTTCTTCCAATCTGTCATCTATTTATTTACAACCAGTCATAATTCTTTTTACGAATGTCACAAATGAAACTACTTTCCGTGTGTTTCATTCTCCTGTTGGATGTTTTCTTTCCGTTTGACCAACGTACTAGATGTTATGAGAACCATGGGTCAATTTATGTTTTCTGGTATATTTTTTGCTCGATATTGATTTCTTCATTGTATTAATGTTTTTGGTCAAAATATGATTCATTTCACAAACTATGCTGTTTTCTTCTCCAAAAAAAGAAGCGATGTGTTTTGGGAAATCCCTTTTGCAGAACTACCAACAATTTCGCTCGTTTAAGAAAAGGGTGACGTAGCGTATATAACAAATAAATAGAGACAGTGTGGCATTGTACTTGAATATAATTTTGAGTGCTTCAGTACTAATTAGAGAAATTTGTTTTGTACGAGTTTAGATATGAAAATTATGAATTGAAACTTTCTATGTTTTTTACCACTTTTATAAAAGTGGTCTCCGTATCGATATATTCTCGAAGCCTTGAATTTTGTATTTAGGTTCATTTGATGTTGTAGACGTGCAATAAAGAACGATTTTTGAAAATTACAACTGGGGCGATAGGCGCGGGTGAAAAAGTGGAAGCGTAGGTTTGAATCCTACCAACTGCGCCAATTATTTCGAAAAATTTACTTTGAGACTTTTTGAATAACTTCATTTGTACATTCAAGGCAAACGTCTATAATTGAATGATTTAATTGAGAAAACAAGGTGTATGAATAAGTTCGCATATGACGCAATGCTGAGTAAGCAGGCTGGATCAGCTTACAACTTAGTTTGGGGACATGCATCTGTAATGTTATACTGTTTCTCCATATCGGTGCGGTGCCGCCCCGGCTCCGCATGGCTCGTTAGTTCTAGATAGTCAAGTCTAGGACGACATATAACTCAGTTTTTTCTGTTGAGATCATTATAATCTGGATGAAAAAGGTGCTCGTACAAAAACCGTGATATAAACTCCCGAAAAATATTCATATTTGTCATGTTTGATGTAAATCAACGTCTCTCAAACGATCATCCAACAGACCATTTTCAAAGTTAAGGTGTTTGGATAAGAAATCTCTCCACGTGGTTGTGATTGGTGTTAATCGACCATTTGTATGTAAATCGCTTCTTGGATTGAAAATACACTAATAAGTTTTTATCGTTATTGGTCGATACATAGTTGGTATGTTTGAATTCCTAGTGTTTTACATTTCATAATGATCCTAGTACCATTAACACGAAGAAACATGTGCCTGTTTCACATTGGTTGGGAGCCTTTGGAACATTCTTCTCAGTGGTCTGAAGATACGGAAGGCACGTGGAATTTTTTTAAATGTTTTTGATGCTACCAAAAATCCACGATGTTTGCTTGTCGAAGATGATTTTGCTGTCAATAAGCGTAGGGACGAAAAAATGAAGAATATACATGGAGGGATATGTGTATACAAAAAGTCAACCTCTTTTCAAATGGTTTCATTTTTTTACAGACACTATAGCGTTCCGCAAGGGTCTGTTTTGGGCCCGCTCTTATTTGTCATTTATGTAAATCACTTTTCCAAACATATTAAGCCGATCAAATCGGTTCTCTTTGCGGACGACACTAGTTTCATTCTGTCGGATAAAAATAATGATATGCTACAGTGTCATCTCGACGAGGTATCTAATAGTGATTTCTGTCTAATGAGCTGAAACTAAATGGTCAGAAGACACAATACATCCGAATTCCTGCTAATAATCAAATTATCTCTAATTGTGAAACTGATAAAGTTGAATTTCTGGGCATAACATTAGATGATAGACTCAACTGATCTACACATATTCCTCAACTGAAGAGAAAACTTTAGAACACATTTTTGTGGTACCACACAAAGTTTTTACATATGTGATTGTTGTTCGTTGCTTGTGAATTTTGAATGTAAAGCCAAACATCACTTGCTACACACATATTGCATTATGTAACGTAGTCAAATAACTATTATTATTAATATAACTTTCTGCAGTCGAGCCAAACCATTAAAGCAGAGTCCTAATGTGAGAAAATCGACGAAATGTACCAAAAATTGCGTCAGCAATTACATGAAGTACTAACAAACATCTACATATACTTTTGAAATTGAATCAAAAGTGAAAATTCAGACAACAAAAACTAGAAAACTATGTGCTTCAACCGCACCCAGATACAACAGAATTATAATAAATAAGTTATTATCATAAATATTCACTCGCCGGTCGCGTGGTTTGGAATTCCTCCTGAGCATACATACAGCATTAAGTCTTGCATACCGATGTCGAAGTGAAAGTAATTTTTTCTCACCATTGTTTTGTTTCAGCTGGCAAACTGCAATCCTGTTCGATTGAAGGGGAGAGAGTTGCCGTGGACAGCATCGTGAAGGGAAGGTGTTTTTCCTGTACATGCAAGGTGAGTTTTCAGGAGCATTATATTGAAATCAACTCTTCTGCTGAACAAATTTCGAAATAACGTAGTGGAAAACAGAAATTTTATGGGAGACTGCTTACTAGAAAAACACTACACCACTGGATTGGGCTTTTTATCGCTTCTGCATCCACTGTATCCTCCAGATATGACCCCACCGACTTTTTTCTAGAACGTCAGGTGTAGCTGACGTGCAAAAACCCTCATATGGGAAGGTAGTCGCGGGTTTCGAAGTGGGAATCTTGCACCTTGACTATCCGACTACCTCATTAATATTGAAACAGCGGGGGATATACTTCGTGTGCCCCGCTGGGGACTGAATCAGGTTTTTAGAGTTCGGCAGAGCCGAACCTGAAATGAACCTGAAATGAAATAATAGTGAAATAAAATACAAGTGGAAATAGAACAATTGAATAAATGAAAATAAAGAAATGAAAAAAGAAAATAAAAATAAAAAGTGGAGAGATTCCAAGTCACGTTAGTCCACAACGTTTCGATTGTTAGTATCTACAACCGTCTTCGGTGATGACTGGACTGAATCCTCCGAGAGATGACTATTTATAGGTCGTTCGAGTACTTTCACTTATCCCCGCTTTCCATTTTCCGCTTCACTGGTTCCGTGTGAGATGACCGTTAGGCGGTCATCCATGATTGTAGATACTAACAATCGAAACCTCATGAACTAACGTGACTTGGAATCTCTCCACATTTTATTTTAATTTTCTTTTTTCATTTCTTTATTCAATTGTTCTATTTTTACTTGTATTTTATTTCACTATTGTTATTTTCAGCTATTCATTTTTATTTTTTCTCATTTAGTTGTTTCAGGGAATTTAAATCATTTTATATAGTAGACAATGGAAGTCCGAACTAGTGAAATTTAAAAAACGATTTCACTCGTGTCGGTTTTTCAAGTTGGCAAACAATGTCAAAGCAATTTTCCGGGTTTTTTGCCGGTGGCCTGCAGATTTTCATGCATGACCTTTCGTCTGCTACCACGGTATACATTATCGAAGTCGATGAGATAGCAATCGAAGTGCCTGAGATTTTTTCACTTTCAGAAGAACATGTTGACCAACAGTTGACCAAAGTTTCAATAAAATCAATTGAACAGTATTTTTGATTCATTAAAATAAGGTAACCATTTCATTCATGACCGATTGGAATAAATGAAACGATGAATGTTGGGTGAAGCTTACCTTAATACGGTAGTATTGCCCAAATCAATTGAGCCGTTTTTGATTGGCGCGTACAAACATAAAAACATATGAGCAGACAAACGGACAAATTTGCTAAAAATCACTGTTATGGATTGCACTGCGTTGGGAAGGCTCCAATAATAGATTTTCTTATCGATTCGTTCGCGAAACATTATACAGTTTAAGGCAAAAAATAGATTTTTTGGAAATATGAAAACCTTCTCTAATACTCTGGAGATAATTTTTTTACGAAATAACTAAAGTCTTTGCATACGAGGTCCGGCTATTAAATAACGAGGCTGCGCGCCTAGAGGGCGCCCTAGAAGGGTGGGGAAAACAACGAGTAGTGCGTTGGGTATCTGGAAATCTTCTCTATTCACGTACCAAAATACGTTTTCGTCACCATTATAGTATTTGTGCAGTAGCGGTTTGAAACAAACGTGTTTGTTTCTCTTGCCGAAAACAATGTTATTATTATTATTTTTTTTTCTTCACCGTAGTGTGCGCTGGTCAGGCCCTATCCCCCGAAGCCTCGATACATTCGAAAGGGCGCGCCAGCATAATCAACCAAAGACCACTCCCCACACCGTGTGGTAAGTGATCATTGGGTCCGGGAATCATGTGCCCTTAGCAAACGCAGTGAGCCAAGAATGACAGCCTTCTGCATCTGTGCGGCTAAGATTTCTGCCTTAGTGCGGCAAGCCGGTATGATTTTGAGATTCGAGAGTAGAGAAGACATCATTCCACCAAGGACTCCAATAATCAGAACGACCATCTTGACAGAGTGATCTGGATAGAGTCTGCGGATTTCGAAGAGAAAATCTCGATATTTTATCCGTTTTTCCTCCTCTTTTCTGACGATATTCGTCTCGCCAGGAGCTGAAAACTCCACGACAAATATCGTTTTGGTCTAGTGGTCGAGAAGGACTACATCAGGCTTATTAGCTTGTATGAGCCTGAGGGTGGGGAACGAATAGTTCCAATAAATTCGGCACTTCTCGTTCCCCACAACGGATTCAGTATCCCCCGGAGCGTAGGGCAACACCGGTGTCTCGTCAATACCGTAAGAGTGCCGTAGATGGTAATATAGCACTCTTAGGCCGCGTTATGTCGATGGATATAGGCCGAGACCGCATATGCTGGACATGCTGATAGCAAGTGCATTAGGGTCTCGGGCGCCTCGCGGCAGGCCCTGCACCTTGTGTCAGGAACCTCTATACCCATCACGCGACTGCGGTAGACTAAGGTGTTGAAGACACCATCCTGGCAAGCCATGATGAACCCCTCAGTTTCCGACTTCAGCCCACTCGACCTGAGAAAAGCGAACGTCAGGCGCTTTGATAAACCAAGGTCTTCAATATTATTGAAGAAGACCCTATGCATTGGCTTATCCCTGTGTCTCCGCAGAAGTAAGGTGATCTCTGCGGCTTTTATCTGAGCTTTTTGCTGAACGGGTTCCAACTGGATGACAGAGTTGTAGTCACCTCGTTCAGAGTGACAGTATTATTATTATTATTATTATTATTATTATTATTATTACATATAAATAAAGGCTGAGTACAAAGTCCTATGTAAGCCTAAAAACGAAGGATATCAACAAGTTAATACAATGCATGCAAAAAGAAAAGAAAAATAATATGCATAGAGGAGATTAAGCAAAGATACGTTTCAAAATCTAATTCGATTATTTGAAAGCAAACCAGAATATGGATTGCAACAATGAAAACGTTATCGTAAAATGTACACCTAAATAAATATAGTTCAAAAAACTAAAAAACACGCTTTTAAAGAATATCGAACTGAAAAGTTGAAAATATTTTTTAAAATAAGCTCAAAACCATAACGATCGAAAAATACTAGCATCATGGCGAAAAAAATATTTTCAACTTTTTAGTTCGATGTTCTTCAAAAGCCTGGTTTTTAGTTTTATATCTATTATCTATAATGTTGGTTTCACCTTTATGACAGATTGCTACATGTTTTTTCGAAGTTTCTAAGTGGAAAATTCCGGAATATTTTTTTGTTTCAATACATCTGATTCTCACAACAGTTCATCAACACAGCAGCAATATTGTTTATTATATTTCCAGTAGGTTTATTCCATTTCTTTTTATGTTGTATTTTTTTTATGTACATTTCCATTTCCTATTCAAATTTTCATGAGTTTGCGGTGCTATTTTGTTTCAGATCCATAACAATGAATTATCATTTATTTGATGAGCATTTTGTTTCGTATCACGTGGAAATCTTATGCAGGTCTTCAATGAACATTATATGCCAAACTTCTGTGGATATTCATAAAAATCCAACCAAGTGCTCTTTGAACATCCTGTGAATATCCGTAGGACGTCCGTTGGGTTAAAAACGGATATTCTATGGATATACGGAATATCTGAGTAGGATATAATTGGTCTAGCCTTTGGAACAAGGATTGTTTGAGCGGTTTTGCCGGATTTTACAAAAATCTTTGAAATATATAATTTTTTCTTCATAGAAAGGACATCTTGGGATAATAACAATTGTAAAAAAAAGAGAAACTGACACTACTTTGGCTCTACAAAGACAACAACAGTACTCCTGAATATCTCGCACACAATTTATAGGAAAACATTCGAATGTCGTGACTAAACGAAAAAAACCTCTGCAGGAATAAAAGCTCGCTAGCCGGAGATCGTTATTCCGAGTAGAGCTCGACCGTAAAACCAGTTGCAGAATTCGTATACAAAATTAATAACTCTTGTAGAAGGCAACGGTGTAGAATTACATCGATGATATGTCGAGAATGCCAAGAATCCAGCAAAGAATTATGATGTCCTCTCTCCTCGAAATTATTTATTGTAAAATATTAGGTATGCCGGAGCGAACACGAACAATTGAATGTCCCCGTTCTGACAGGCTATTTTTTACAAGAATAATAAGATAATATGAGGCTCGATTCGAGAGTTGGGAGTTATTCGGCGCACGGTTACGTAACGCTGTAGGTCAATCACTTAAAAAATTTGCCACGGAATAAATTCTTGCATGATGAATTTTTTACAGGCTAACGAAAAATAACAATCTTGGTGAAGCAAGGTGGAAACATTTTTCGAAGCATCGAACATGTCGTTGAAATGTTCCTTCGAGTACGTATCCTTAAAATACTCCAACTAATAGAACATAGTTTCTTATCCATGGGCTTGTCATGTTACCCTCAAGCAAAGAAAGTAACGATATTCAGAATGGAATTATACATGGATATGTTTCAAACTCTACTAATGAGTGATTTTTTTGCTGGTGTCTTCTTGGCAACACTGTTTTTGACAGATCACGCGTGAATTGTGTCTTGCGTCATTGTCAAACTTGTTCAGTTTGGTCTATAATTTAACCATGAATCGACCTACGAATGAACAACGCTTGCAAGTTATTGAATTTTATTATCAAAATTCATGCTCGGTGAAGAAACTGCATCGTGCACTTTTTCCAATTTCTGGGCAGTTTCGTCGGCCTATTGAGAGAGCTTTTCGGAAGCTTATGACTAAATTTTGAACCTAGTTTACATTATTGGACATTAAACCACCAAAATGCATACGTAGAGTGAGGACCGAAGAAAATATTGCGGCTGTATGCGCCAGTGTTCGTGATGACCGTGAAATGTCGATTTGCCGCCGTTCGCAGCAATTAGGCCTCTGTTACTCCACTACGTGGAAAATTTTGCGAAAAGATTTGGGTGTAAAACCTTCTAAGATATAGCTGGTGTAAGAATTGAAGCCACACGACCTTCCACAACATCTAACATTTGGTGAATGG